TCGAGAAATTTTGGTAGAGAATCAGACGAAATTAGTCAATCACCAAATTGCATAAAAATGCAAGTAAGACTGGGGCGACAATTTCTTATCATCACTTTCAATCAAAAACGTAACCAAACAAAACCTAACAGACCAACGAATCAGACGCAGCCAAGAAATATCATCTGAAACAGACTCAGCAAAGCACCCCTAAACACGAAACCTAGACACAAAGAAAACAGCATTATGTAATTAAGACAACCAAAAAAATCATCCTTTCACAGACACAGATTGTTGACAAAGAGAATCAATTAACCCTAAAACTATGAACATGACGCAAATTGATAAGGAGACAAGAGCAAAAGTAATTAGGGATTTTGTTTGAGGCTGTGAAAAAGCTTAGCTAGGGCTTCCCCTCTATATAGAGGGCACCTTATGGGGTTTTCCGGTTAAGTTCGGTTTCCGTTTGATTTTTTTTCGGTTCAGCACGGCTTCGGTTTAGGGTTTAATTTAATTAAACCGGTAATCTCTCTTGACCCATCTTTCTTTCTTTGTAACTGAATATTTTCTACATCAAGGACTAACAATTTCTACATCTTTTCGTTTATCTGCACATGTCTTTGTTAGTTTGTTATCTAAATATTTTTTTTATAGATATTCCATGCATATAATGTTCATCACACCCACATGGTCATGTCTTCTCACCATGCATTCCACATATGTTTTAATCCACAAGTTGATTTGCTTGATAAGATTGATTACTAATTTGGGACCCTTATGATGATGATCATAGACAAGAAACACATAACCCATGTGTTTCTGTCTGCTTTGGTTGCTCTTTAATTTCATTTTAGCTTTCATACTTTCTCCTTATATATAATGTAACTAACATATTGCATTCTTCATCAACTACAACTTGCTTTGATTGGAAAAGCACTATCACACAAGAAACAAACAGATAATTTCTACTTTTCAATCTCAATCTTTCCTCGAAAAATGATGATGAACACAAAGAAGCTCATCAAGATGGCCAAGAAATGGCAACAAAGAGCAGCCTTAAGCAGGAAAAGAATCTCATTTCAAAGATCAAGTACTACTAGTAGCTCAACCGCTGCAGAGAAGGGGTGTTTCGTCATTTACACGACGGATAAAGCACGCTTTGCTTTTCCGATAAGTTACCTAAGCAACTCTGTTGTCCAAGAGCTCTTGAAGATCTCTGAAGAAGAGTTTGGCATCCCAAGCGGTGGACCAATCACTTTGCCATTCGATTCGGTTTTCTTAGAGTATCTAATCAATTTGATCCAAAGACGAATGGATGGACATACCGAGAAGGCCCTGTTAATGTCAATCTCTAGTGCTAAGTGTTTTTTACAATGTTCTTATCAACAACAAGAACAGAGTACTCAACAATTGCATGTATTTTAGAGTTAGTAATCTGATGTGTTTGTAAAGTTTTTAGTGTATATGATAGAAAGGAATATTTCAGAAACATAATGAACTTTTGTCTTATCTCTCTGTAAATCTTTTTGCTTCATTAAAACTAAAAATCAGCTAACTTCACATAACTTTTAGTGACAATTTCATCTAACCTCTGAAATCTTCAAGCCAGTAGCTGCTTAAAATTTTCCATTCCCTACGATTCATCGAGAGTCCATATGAATCTCTGTAAAGGTACACAAGTCTGAGCAAGAACAAGAGCTCTTATGATCTATCACAAGGAGATATGAAATGCATGTTACAACAAGACGAGAGTAGTCATTAGTCAACAATCACTTGTAGTTTAGACTCTCTGAGACAACTAATTTATAAACCTTTAAATTTAGTAGATACGAAAAACAATATCACAATATACCAGAGAAAATTCCAATTTTAGTTCTTCAAAAGATAAAACTTATTCTTGGATTTTTTTTTTTTTTTCTGATGTATATACTCAAAATTGGATTTGATTGCTACGGTTAACAAAAGACTGGTTACTAACTTTTGGACCCATTATGATCATATACAACAAAGACAGAAGCATATGTTCTGTTCTCTGTGGTTTGGTTGCCCTAATTTTATCTATACTCTATAGTTTCTCATATTATATATACAATGCAACAAGCCTATTGGATTCTCCATCAACCATAACTTGCATTCAAAGACTTCTAAAAATACAACTTACAAATCGTTTTTCTTTCTTTCTCCTTCTTGTTTTTTCGGTCTAAATCTTTTTTCGCTCTATATCTTAGTCGAGATGGTCTTTGTATTTAAATATTTCAGAATATAGTGTAGCTGCTAAAATACAAGCAATTGTTGTCTACTCTGTCATAAATATTTTTGTTTAGGTAATTTTTGTTTTGTACTGTATATTCATATGCCATTATAGTTTTAATTTGATTCATACTGTATATTCGTATGCCATTATAGTTTTTAATGCCATACTGTGTATTCATACTGTATAGTTTTTAATGCCATACTGTATATTCATATGCCATTATAGTTTTTAATGCCATTATATTCATAAGCCATTCTGTCA